TTTAATATTAATTCAATTATTACCTGAAGGGGCCTCCTTCTTCTTTTCCTTTTTTTTTTTTTAACAAGCAGGAAGTTATATCCACAATAAATATGTTCCTTTAACCCCCTGATAAATCGCTTGGTAAATTAGTCTATGATTTGCAATGAAACGTCCGTCGACTCTGTTTCATCAAAAGGTTTCATTTTTAACAATAGCCCACTATATTTTTCTCTTTTGGCAGACATCCGTTCATCGCCTCTTCACCATTTTCAACCTCAGAAATTTCGGTCCTTGATCAGCAATCGTCGGCATCGGTTAATCCATTTTCACATTTTTAAGTTCCTTTTTAGCTGTCTTTAGCTGAAACAAAATCATATCTTAATCTTACTAATATATCGAATGACATCGGATTTCTCATGGCAACAGCAAGCAAGAAAAAAAACACGAGGGCACACGATAGCCTGCATAGCAAGCGTTTCCGAGTGGGTTCGTCGAGAAAGTTGAGGCGATAACAAACAAGAGGAATGAAGGGGGAAAGGAGGGGAGAGAAGGAAACGCTGTTTCCTCTTCTCAACTCCCCACCCCCTCCCCCTCGCATTTTTTTTTCGCTCTCGCTCCAATTTTCGCCCAATAACTCAATTGGAAACGCTTGCTACGCAGACTAGGCACACGAAAGTGTTTATCTCCTTCTTTAATGTGGTCCCACTACAGAGGTAATCGCGATAAAGGGATCTTAAATCACACTTTTTAAAATTAACTTTCAAGTGTGACCCCAGTTGACCATCAGTTGAGGAAGATGTAATTTATAACAAAAAAGCGATAGACTTCAATTGGTTCAAAGATGTAGAGTGCGATGTAAAGCGTCTCGAGACGTAAATTTTATCTCGCATGCAGTAAGAAACAAGCGACCCATTCAGCTCAATTCTCAGTGCTCGTAACTCGTTCCCGGTTCCTCGTTTTAATAACATCATCGAAGCCTTTGCCGCACGAAAAGAGAAAGGTGGAAACTGTCTTCAATTTGTCACTTGGGTTTGCCTTCGTTCGTTATGCAGTCTCCAGGCGAGAAAGGTGGCATGTGCGTAGCCAGCTTTTTATCAGTTGTAGGCCTGGCTGACTTTCATTTTCAGATATACTGAAAATTGTACACTCAGACCTCACCAACACTTTGAGCTCTTAAGCTTCTCAGCTCACCCCAACAACGCATAATTTATTACAAGCGGTAGACTGATCAAACCAAAAGTTTGTTGGGCCGGGCCCAAAGGACAATGGGCTGGCTACGTCCCTGGATGGAGATGAAAAATAACGACCAACGAGGAACACCGCGAGAACGTGTTCTTGTGCCTCAAATACATTTTTTTGTTTATGGTGCCATCAACGAAAAGTGCGAATGAATTAAAACATATTGCAAATTGCTTCAAAACAACAGGCTCATGTCTTCTGCAATCCATCCCGTATCATTAGCCAGTTTATTGCAACGTATCTATAAAAAAATGCGCGATGAAACTAAAATCCTGACGTTATAAAGCCTATAATAATTAATGACGACGATACAGTATTATAGAATACAGTATTATGCAAACTGGGTTACACAGTGAGTCTATGAACTTCCCAGTAAGAATATATTCATATGCTTAAGGAAATAATTTTAAAAACATGGAAAACTCATTTGGCATAAAAGAAGATACAAATCGCTACACGGGGGTATTTATCACAAGGGAAATTGGACATCAAAATTAACTACTGTAAAGTTGCACAACCTTTCCAACTGCTTTTCTCCGGAATTGCTAGCCTAAAAATGTCCTTACGTTGCACTGATGTAACGCAACATCCCACTCATGTACATTAATGTATACAGCCATTAATTTATTAGCATCTAGAACTGAAGAAATCCCTAATCTTAATAGCGCTTATTCCATATAGCTTAATTCGTCAACTTTTGGCCAAAGTTTTTCGAGTTAAATTCTAAAAAAATGAATCAAAGTTCAGTGTAAGAAAAAAAAGTTGTCGTCTTCCCGTCCTCGGCAAACTGTGAAATTAGGTACTTTCACAGTGTAGTCGTGCAAGGACTGCAAAGAACTGTACTAAAAAGCGTGAGCACGTGCAAAGTTGTTGTTTTGCTAATACACTTTTGCTAATGCCGTTCTCATTGCCGTCGTCGTCGTCCTCGTTGCTTAACCTCCCTGTTAGCAAAGTTATTCAAACATGTCCTCAAAATTAATGGCGACGAGTACGAACTTGACTCGCTGTCTGGTTTACAACGAAGCAGTGAGAGGTTCCTTTCAGATGGTAGATCTCCATTCAACATTCTTGTTGATAAGGAGTTTGAGATGTCTCTTAAGTTCTAGCAACCAAAAGGAAAAGTTTAGTCTGGAAAGTCGGCAAAGGGAACAGGCCAAACCCCAACCACGTGGTGACAGATGGTGAAGAAGGTAAACTCTTTAAAAGTGGCCAGTTCGGAACTTTCTATCCTGAGGACCTCCAGAGAATCATGTGGTGGTTTTTGTCCCTCTACGTCGGTAATTTTTCCAAATCTTTGTTAATGCGACGCAGTTTTTCCTGGCATTGTCTACAAGTTTCACTCTTACATGAACAGCAGTAGCCAACAATACAATTGAATTAAAAAATATGCAGAAGTGTTAGCTATAATTGTCTAGAAATGAAAGTTGCCTGTGGACTTCTCCTTTGGCAAGTCTACATTTGACTTGTAACAGCTAATTTTTTGGGGGGGAACGACGGTTGTTCATGTACACTAAAATTAAGACTCAAAATTATCACTAGGCCAGGTCATGGTCTAAAGGAGAGTATGAAATAAATGTAACATGTTAAACCTCTCCAACCCCATCCCATTGGCAAATTTCTTATCTATTTTTCAATACCGTGTAGCATGAAACTTTTGCGGGTTCTAATTTTTGCGAATTTTGCGGATTGACCTCGATCTGCAAAAATTCGTTCCCGCAGAAAAAAAACCGGCAAAATAAAACGTCGCAAAAATTAACTCCCTTCAGTCAAATTAAAAACTCTGCCTTTAATGGACTTGCTGTGTATGGTAGGGATAGGCTTTTGTTTTGTTTTGCTGTTGTTCATTGAGTCCCTTTGTGCAGTAAGATATTACAGTGATCACCGTATTATTCTCCATTAAATGTGTAAGTAGAGTGAACTTTGACTCAACATGCCGTAAAATAAAAGTTGAAAATACCATATTAAGGTTTCTTCCACTTAAAAATTCTGCTACTTGAACAGAGAATCGCAAAAATTTGTTCCCACCAGAAATTTCAGTCATCTCGAACCGCAAAAATGTGTTCCCGCAAACCACAAAAAATCGCCAATCCGCAAAATAAAACTCCCGCAAAATTTTCATGTTACACGGTAGATTTGAAGTTTAATTTATAAAACAGCGAAGTGTTATATGTGAAATGAACTCCCAGAATTTTAATGGTTTTCTTAAATTCAGTGCCCTCTAATTCAAAGGAAATTTATTTCTGAAAGAAATAAATGACTGTTCTCCAGCTACCTGGGAGGGGGCGCTCCTGCCATCCGGGACATCATATATGTGTTTTCATGACATGAAAGAGAGGTACAAGGCCTCTCTGCTCACTGCAACAAGAAATTTGGAAAACATTTTTTGATGGTGGGCAGCAGACTGGCAGTCAAATGTACACTCTCCCTGACCAAATGAATTGACAATTTGTGCAGATACTAATGGTTTCCAAATTCCAGTCGAAACTTCGTGTATTGGACCCCGATGATGTAAAGCAAAAGACTTCTTTCTTTTCTGTTCAGGGAAAATCTGCTTAGTATGTTTTCATGGTTTTTTTGTTCTTTTGTTTTATATATCATCTGTGTCTGTTACACAAATAAATGCCCAAACTCCCATCACAGCCATCCTGTCCACCTATTTAATATTCTGCCAATGAAACATGTTTATTAAACCTCGGTGAGTATGCAGGAATATGTCACCTCCCTCTGGCTTCTTTGAAAGAGTTACAATTAATTTCCCTGGCTTATACTGAAACTCCGTAAATTGAGTTACGGGGATGGATTAAATAGGATCGAAAATAGGAGGCCAGCAATAATTTTTGTTATGCTTGACTTAAAAGACACAGCTTCGTTTAGGTATAAGGCTGCTATACAATGATAGTATATTTTGCTTGGGATGGTTTTGGGAAAGTAATGCATCAGTCAATTCCACCTGCGCCGAGCCCCTCACCCCCTACTACTGCCTTGTCAGTCCCGGGGGTGGGGCATTTGCAAATTTTTCACTGCCCGGGGGCCGGGCATTTGCCAACGCCGGGGCCATTCCCGAGCTTTCAAACACGCACGCGGTTTCCCATCAGAATAAAACTACACAGAGGGTTTTACTGGAAAAAAAGCAGATTGGCTTATCTGTCAAGGATAGGAATAAATTGAAGAGGGTTGTAAGGGCATGTTCTCGATTTTATGCATGCATTTCTTCATTGCTTATCAAGCCAAAGTTACATAGCGAAACTGGAGCTATCGATGTGAATGAACGTTATCAATATCAATATCAATATTATTTGAAGAACATCCTTTCATAATTATAAAACTATTCATAACATATAACTTTAAGGCGCTCTATTAATTTAATGCCAATAATTTTATATCAGTACTAAAACCATAAACTGGTGCATGTCGTCGAGTCGTCGTTAGAATCGTTAGAATCCTAGCGCTATCACAAAGGAAGACGTTAATTAAAACAAAAAAATCGCACATTAAAATGCTTAAAATGGAACTATTTGACTGTGCAATCAATGAAAAATGTTGCAGTGTTAACACTGCGTGAAATACATACATACATACATACATACTTTATTTGTCATGTAGGTCAGTGAAAAAAGAGGCAGCTAAAGAGCTGATGTGGACCTATAAGTAATAAGTAATTTAGTGGAATTTACAGGGCCACGATACTCCCATGGCACTTAGCAAATCGTATACCGACACGCGAGGTGTCATGAAACGCGGCGTTTCAGAGGGTGTCCGTGTCCCCGATACTTCAGTCGTGAAAAATCAGGACAAATCGTGGCCCGGACACGTCTTCTGCGGTGTGTCAAGAAATATACGAGCTCTGATTCTTAACGATATCACTTAGCCAAAGCTATGTCGACTTTCGACAGTGAGGTAAAATGCCATGAAAACTGAAATTTAGGAAAAATTAAACTTTACCTAATAAAAACACAACTAACTCTTTTACGCAAACTTTCCAAAGTACGCCGAGGTTGTTAAAGATTTACGCACTTGGCTTAAAGGTTGAATGAAGGTAACATAAGCTTGCAACAACTTTACGCTCATTCTCTTACGCGAGATATGAAAGTTGAGTAACTGTAAGGTTGCCACGTGCACTCTGGTAGCAGGATCTGTTTTCTTTGTTGTTTTTAGCATGACCGAAGTAGTTTTCACGCCGCTAACGATGAGAATCGTTGGCTTGTTGTTTTTGGAGATCTTGTAATTCTGTTCGGGTGACTGGAAGGCATTGTTAACATAAATGGCCTGTCACTTACTCTTGAAAAATAATACATTGTCTTTGTCACAACCAGTTAAACGAAAACAAATTCAAAACAGAGAGAACATGCGTGATAACTATTTCCTCACTTACGATAAACGACAGACGGCATTCTCGAAAAACTATGGCTACTTAATTTCAACGGAGTATTGACTAACTTTCTGCAAATACTACATTGTTTTTTGAACTGCCTTTATCGCTTCCCGGGTATCGTCTCTGTCAGGAGAAGAAAAAAGAAGAAAACCTGGGGGTTATACGTTCGAATGAGGCCTGGAAATGAAACAATACATCAAAGCAACTGGTCAGCGGGTATTCGCTTTGCACATGCTCTTTCAGGTTCCGATTTGGCGTCCATTTTGAAAGTGTGAAATCGATCGTTTCCATCACGCCAACTTGTTTGATTTCCCTTAGCAGTTTGAGTCCATAATTATGCTTCTCGATAGCATCACAGGACATCTGAGGATTGTAACACATTACCATCGAACGTTCAACCTTCAGTTGTCGATAGATCTTAAGAGCGGATGTCAGTAAATATCGACCAGAGGTCTACAAAAGTGAAAAATCGAAAATTCTCAAAAAAATTCACAAAGTAGCACTAGGTAAGCTATTAACATAAATGTAATTTTTACTTCGATCCGATAATTATTTTCCACGTACGGGGGGGTATTGGTTTCGCGGCTCTCGGAGCGGGTTTTCCAGGCTCGAGACCATGTGTCACAAAAAAATCGTTTTAAAATTCAAATCCATTGTAATGCGGACAACAAATAACTTATTCAAAAGAGTACATAATTGCACACATTTTAAGTGGTGATTTACTCAGTTTGAACGAAAATGTAATATTTTGGAGATTTTTCATTATTTTCAATATTTTGAACGTTTTCGTTCAATGAAAAAATGGCAAATTTCAAAGCCCCAAATCGTCGACTGGTACCTCGATTTCAGTAACGAGTCTTATACCACGTTAAAGAGCGTTATCTCTTCTTTCAAAATCTGTTTTCAAAACTACGGGCAACTGAAAAGAAAATTTTTGAGGCCAAAAGATACAAGTAGTACTTTTCTGAAATTTGAGCTTTCCAGACTCCCCTGAGACTCGGCGGGCCGATGCTAAAAACTCGGAAAAATACAATAAGAACTCAGTTTGAGAAACAGTGGTTTCAAGTTATCAGCTTTCAGAAACCAAGACGTGTTTATACAGCGATCTGATATAAATTAATGCCGTTTGCTATCAAGAAAGGCAGATTTAAGCTGTCAACTCCTGCCAAGTGCACCAGTCACGTGAAGTTGTCAAAGGGAGGGCAAAGCACTAATATTAAAAAGTCTTAAAATTCAAAACGTTTTGCGTCCATGAAAGCAGATTTTAGCGTACAAAACAATGTTGTGAATGTCTGTTGTTCGTACCTTAACATGGTGTTTCCATATATTGGAAAGGTCAAGTATCCACACAGGAGAACATACCAAACAACAACGTTTTAAATCCAAGCGCCGAAAGATCGTAAACGGCAGAGATTGCGTTACATTTAACAGAACGACCGCTTACCACTGTTGTCACTCCTTTTTTCGCTGGAAGCTACGAGGAGTTTTCATTCCGTCATGAGTGATTCTTGATCAGCGCTTCCTTGAAAGTACGACCCCGGACAGATGATAACTGAGGACGCCTGTTGTTCAGTTTCAGGATTTAGCAGGTGCGTAGTCAGGATTTTTCCGGAGGTACACCCAACTTTTTCTACATCGTCTCCCCCCCCCGCCTCCCCCCACCCCAAATCTCAACATTTTTTAAGGTGCCTATATTAAAGGTGGGGTTAACGGTTGTAAGCAAAAGCATTTTTGCTGTTTATGAAATGACACAACCTCTAAAATTCTTTAATTCTGTCGGCTTGTTATGTTCATTGTCGTCAACCGTTTATCATTAATTCAGCTATTAAAAATCAAGCTTGTAGTACCTCCGACTTTAGTTTACAAATGACTCTTTTTACCCTTTTTTGTCACATTATTTTTGACCG